TAATTTGTTGATTTTTATAGTAACTATTTCCTTGTAAAGTTAGTAGGATTAAACTAGCTGCACACACTTTGTATACATTAAGTTTGACAATCCATATGTTGTCAAAATTTGTGTCATTGATTGTTAAAATCAATTTGTAAAAAGTTGTCACCTAACGACGACATCAAACTTAATGTCGACAAAAATGTACATGTAGTATAATTGTAGTTAGTAATTACTTGTTTTTGGCAAATTTCTTATGTGGTCTATGAACTTCTAACAAAATTTCAATTGGATCACTAAAAGTTTTAGTGAACTTTAATTTTATTTCAATTAATATGGTCAAAATTCAAATTTCATTATTTTGTCACCGTTCGTCTTCCAATTTAGCCCCTGTTTGGGCTCTATTATTTCACATTTTAATGAGAATAATAGTATTTTTTTTAGAGAATGTGTGATTGAAAAAAAAAAAAAGTTTTTAGATTTATATGTGTGATATTATATTATTGAAAAATGTGTGGCCGATAAAAAAAGATGGAAAGATAAATTTTAATTTGATGGGGGCCAAATATGGACTTAATGAAAATTCTTAGTTTGTGGTAATATTACAACAAATTTTACACATAATATAGGTGTGTTGTGCCAACTTAGGGGTGGGCAAAACCCGATCAAATCCGTCCAAACCGCCCAAACCAAACCAACCAGACCGGGTTGGGTCGATTTTTTTTTGTTGTTTTTACACGGGTTGGTTGGGTTGAGTCGGGTCGGGTTACGGGTTAACTCATGAAAAGCGAATAAACCTGCTCAATCCAACCCGCCACTTTAAAAAAAAAATGTCTAGAAAAGTAAAAGAAACCTAAAAAGTATACATAGATAGTGTAATTGTAATTACCTTTTTGTATTTTAGAGGATGAGCTTATTGTTCTTCCCACAAGAAATGTAGTATGAATTTTTCATGTTATATTAAATGCACTTTTTTTTTTGTAGGGTGGGCTAATGAGGATTGAATAAGATAATAAATGATTTTATTTATTTACTTACAATTTAATTTTATCTATTCAAATTTAGTATAACAGAAAATTAGATGACTTTAATTTTTGTTGACAAGTTGTCACAAACCGACCAACTCATCCCAACCGGATCGATACTTGATTAAGTTGGGTTGGGTTTCAACATTAACACGAGTTGAATTGGGTTAAATTTTGATCAAACTGATTATGTTGGGTTGGGTTTGGGTTGAGGCAAAAACCAACTCAACCCAACCCAAGCCCACCCCTACTTATCATTACATTACGCCATGTGTTAAATTGTGTCTTTTTTTTATTTATTTAATGTATCTTTTAATGTCTTTTAATATAAAAAAAAGACATTGTCATAAATTTCATTTTGTCATTTTTCATTTAAACCATTTGTTTAACGCTCGTAAGTGTGTAGAAGGTGTGAGTCATATAGAATTTGTGAATAATACGTGAATATTAAATTGTAAATTTGTGAATAAAAATTAGTTTTGATCAATTTAAAAAATTAAGCTAAGCCCCAATCATTCACTTAAGATGTCTCGCAATGATTACATGGAAGATTAATTGCTAATTAAATCATTTTTATCAATTTAACAGGTGACATATGACAAAATGTGATAGCCGTGAAATTTGAAATTAAATTGAAGTCCAATAATAATCGATAAAATATAACTTATTTTGCAACGCACTTATTTGATGACAAAAACCTCTTAAGCAGCTAAGCTTAATCAACATGCTCTTAAGAAATAATAATTTTACACAAATTTTTTTTTAAAGTTATTTATGGTAACTTTTACCTTTTTCTTTTTGTTAAACCCAGTAGTTTAAAAAGTTGCATTAGTACTTTTTCTATATCTTACTTAGGGCGTGTTCGGTAGAGATTAAAATCGAATTAAAATTGAAAAACTGGCCGTTATTGTTGACTTTTATTAGACGAGTGAGACCCAATAACGGCTATATTTTCAATTTTAATTGGATTTTAATCCGGACCAAACACGCTCTTATTAAAGCCATGTTTGTTTCGAATTAAAATCAAACTTTAATTTCAGTTAAAGTCAAACAATCAATATTAACCACATCTTTCATGGTTTCCACAGCTTTTCAATCACACATTTCAAAATTTTCAACTAAATTAATGTTTTACAATCATTACTTTAGAGGCATAACTGTCCTATTTTAATGTTCCACCTAAATTGTCGCATTATCGATATTTCATCATTATAATAATAAGTAGCATTATTCATTATTTTAAAACTTTTAGCTCTCATACTCATTTTCAATTACATTTACGTAATAAAATATTTTGTACGTAACATCGAAATTTTTTCTATTTTTTAATACATATTTTCAAAAAATTACTATTTAAAACTCTATTTTTTCAAAATAATGACGATCTAACATGGGCTAAATGTACTTGCGAATAAATTTAAAATAAATACTTTCTTTATTGATTAAAATTGAAAATAATTACTTAACTTCTACCATAAATAAAAGAGTGAGTTCTCAAATTACTGTTCATAAGCCGTGAGCCAAGCCGAATGACTTGTTGGCTCGGCTAAGCAGGCTAAGCTTTTTTTTTTTTTTTTAGGTTTGA